TTGTTCATGTGTGGGTCCTTTTGGAGAACTCTATATTTATATCCTGTTCCCACTTTAGTTGTAAGTATTTTCTTTTTATTCTTGAGTTATAATAGGTCTTCTTATATTCCAAATATAAGTCCCTTACCGGGTGCATGATTTGCAAGAGTTTTCCCCCTGGTTGTGGCTTGGCTTTTAATATTCTTGCTTATGTCTCTTAAGGTATAATGTTTAAAATTTTGATGATGTTCATCCTCTTCCACTTTCAAGAACCCTTGTAGTAACATTTGAGTATGTGACCTATCCTATTCACAGGCCAAGAACTAGGTTGTGCACATCTTTGAGGGGGATCTTTAGTGTGCCCCTTAAAGTATCGCCTTTCCTATTCTTGAGAGCCAGACTTGCCTTCTGCATTTAGAGAGAGGTTCGCACAGGGGCACCTGACTGAGCAGTTATGGTGCAGCTCTGCAAGCTTCCCTGCTCTTCCCCTTGCATAACTATATCCCTTTTCATTGAATTACAGTCATTCAGACATCGATAAGAGAGATCAGTATTTGACCAGATTGTACTGACCATCCTCTGGTAAGCATGGAAGTAATAGATCTGTTCAAGATAGTGGAAGGAGAAGCAGAAGGAGCACAAAAGAGACAGGACCCCAAACAATGATGTCTGTGTTCATACTCTCTTTTGTCACCTCCCACTTACTCCAGTCTACTTTTCTTTTTTTTAATAGCCACTTTCTTGATGTATAACTCATGTATCCTAAACGTAGCCCTATTAAAGAGTACAGTTCAGTGGTTTTGGTGTATTCACAAGGTGAGCAACCACTGACACTAACTAATCCTAGAAGATATTCATCATCCCCCAAAGAAACTCTGTGCCCATTAAGAGTCAGTCTGGGAACCACTCTTCTTTTTCTCTGTGTAAATTTACCCAGTCTGGACATTTCATAGATGGAAACATAAGATACATGGCGGTTTGCATCAGGACACTTTCACTTACCGTGATGTTTTCGCTTAACATACTTTATTCCTTTTTGTGCCAAGTATTGTTGGGTTATCTTGATACATCACATTGTGTTTATCCATTCATCCATCAGTGGTCATTTGAGTTGTTTCCACTTTGTGATGATTGTGAATAATATTGCTATAAATGTTCATATACACATTTTTGTGTATGTATATTTTTGGTGTTCTTGAGCAAATATGTGTAATTCCTTGAGCAACTGGAAAGCTATTTTCCAAAGCAGCTGACATTTTTTTTCTCAGCAGTAGTGATTGAAGGTTCAGTTTTCTGCATTCTCACCAGAACTTGTTGTTGTATGTCTTTTGGATCATAGACATCCCAGCTTGTAGGGAGGGGTACCTCAATGTGGTTTGGATTTGCATTTCACTATTGACTAATGATGTTTCATGTGCTTTGCAGTTTTGTCCCCCTGCCACAGAATACTGGGGATTATTCTCTCCTTCTTGAAATTCTTTATTTTCTAACCAGTTGAAACTTTAAGAGTTAAAACACTGGTTGAAAACCAACAAACCAACATTGGTTGGTTTGCCTCCTTCCTCTCTGTGCTCATTAGCTGAGTCCTTCTTCTTACCTTGAGCTTCAAGAAGTGTTCTAATGCCAGTTCTGCCCTGCTGTGTCTTCATTCATGACTGTTTAAACTTACTTATGTAATGTTCTGCCTTTCTCACTGGAATGTAAGCTTTATGGGTACAGGAACTTTGTCTTGTATATCGCAGTATCCTTGGTTTCTAGAAGAGCACTTAGCAATAAATTTTTTTGAATTAATGAATATATGTACTAGAAAATATACAGAAATGGTACATGAATAAAAACTTGGGTGCTCCATGACCAAATACATTTCTGGAACATTGTATTATGCAAACTTAATTGTCTTTTGTGCAGTACCTCTCAGATACTTTATTTTGTTAATGACCACTGTGAAGTTAAATTTGAAAACATTTTGGTATGGAATGTATCATAATACTTTTAAAATACTCTTCCAACTCAAACAGCTCAACTACAATCCCTAGCAAAATTATAGGGTGCTTTAGTCAATGGATATTTCCTTAGCTCTTTGAAGAGTTAAACTGTGATCATCACTGCTTAATATGAACAGGTTATGTTAAATTATCCCATCTCTGCCATTAAAAATGTTTTAAATCAGAAATCCACTCTGCTGGAAGACCCGGGTGATGTTATTTCTTCACAGCAGCGAGGCTTTGAGCTGACTTTGTCATGATCTCCCCGTTCTGAAAAGCTGAGTATGTTATCAGGATCTTGGGATGAGCCTGTCACTTGAGAGTTTATGTCAAAATATCAGGCTGAGTTGAGATTCATGCCCTTGGGGAGAATCACCTCTACAGTGAGCTGTTTACTGTCTGTGGTGTCATGGTGAGTTTCAAGTGGTTACCCGTGATCAGGAGTGGCATTTCCAGGACTGGGTGGTAATGGAGCTTACAGAGATAGCTCTAAATACTCAACTCAGGAAAGCAATATAAAGGAAAGGAGACAGAGGTGAGGCACACACCCAGGAGCTTCCCCTACTGTAAGCTCACAGCCAGCCATATGTCAGGAGGCTACTCAGACTAGCAGGAGAGTCAGAGCACGGATAGTCAGACCAAGAAGCACTCACAACTGGGTCTTCACATAATGCAGCAAGGCAGGAAAAACAGGGTTGACCTTGGTGCCTGCATCAGCACATGTGGCATGGTGTGGTTAGGAACCAGATGCATACATAGCCAATGGTTCTCTAAATTTGGGCCTTGACCAGCAGTATCATCATCATGAAAACTTGTTAGAAATATAGATTTTTGGGACCTGGAAATCTAATATTTTAAGAAGCCCAAAATATGTGTTCAAGTTTGAGGACTGCTAATCAAAACCAGGGGAACAAGTTTTGGTAAAAGAGATCTTTAACATTCCACATTCAAGGATCTTCCTAAATCTATTTCCTGCTAGCATGTGAAACAGTTCTTGAATGTGATCTCCCCTTGATCTTCAAGTAGTAGAAAAAAATTTTAAAGTAGAATGATCCTACTGCAGTTGTATGTATTGAGTCCTGTGTGTTAAGTAACATGCTAAACACATTCTTAGAAGATTTGATCCTCTTAACCCGTTATCCTTATGAGGTTAAAAATCATTATAAGATTTGATCCTCTTAACCATTTATGCTTATGAAGTTAAAAATCATCACAATCCCCATTATAGATGAAAATGCTGACCAATAGGCCTGCGATGCCAAGGTCACCCAGCTGGTTACACTTTAGGGCTGACTGTACTGTGATACTTCACTTTCTGGTAAATAGTGCATGTGCTGCCAGTACATTACTTGCAGAGCGATGGTCTGAAAGATCTGAGTACTAGAAAGTGTAAGGGAAATAATAGATATTGGATGGATAGATGGATAAAGGGATGGGAGGGAGGAAGAAAGAAAAGAAAAAAGAATAGCTGGAGGAAGAAAAGACGAAAGGAGGAAGAGAAGAAAGGGTAGCAACAGGTTTGGGAAATAAAGATCGAGAGAAGGCTCCTTCTAATGGGGGGCTGGGTCGTTGTTTTGTGACTCTTTCTCTTTCTTCGCAGGTCTTGCTTTTAAGTTATCCAGTCCATAGGCTTTCAATCAGTTTTAGCCTGGGCCCACACCACCCGGCTTTCTCCTAAGAGTTTGCTCCGGGATTTATTCACCCTTGTTGGTTGGTTTTCCTCCCTGTCTATGCTCACGTAGTCTCTGTACCTTAAGTTCATACAGGCTCCAGTTGCAGAGGGACCTGTGACCAGCCTCCTCGCTGGCTGGAGAAGATTCTGGTAACAACAAGTCACTCTCTGGGGACTGTGTGCTCAGGGGCTGCTGCAAAGCTTCTCTCCACTCCATTCACCTTGGACTGCCTTGCTCCCTGCCTCCGTGTTAATAGCATGTCATTTTCCCTTCCTTGTACACAAAGCCACAGGGACACTTAATCTGGCATTCTCTGGAGGTCCTTTGGAGTTTTGCAACCTAATCACAGTAATCAAGACGGGGTAGGCACGATCAAGGACAAGGTTTGTTTCTTTGCCTGCCTCTCCACTCTGGCTTTTCATTTTCATATTCCTTGTTGGGATTTGTAATAAACACAGGAACATAGCTCAAGAGCAGCAATAGTTTTAACTTCAGCCAAGGTACAATAGGTGCTATTGGGAAAGTAAAACTTTCAAATGGCAGTTTAGCCTTGAATAATATATTGAATTAGGTATGCTGTGGGCCTTGATGCATGGTCTCTGTTTAATAGCATTGCTATGTATATTACCTGAGTGCTGTAGTAGCCTAGAGAAATGGGCCATTTAAAAGATTGCGCTCACACAGCCGGTGCCCGTGCTGAGGCAGAAAGAAGGGGCAGAAGTCAGATGACCTAACTTCCTGTGCTGACTACCAAGACCTCTCTGAACACTGCTTTTCTTGTATGCAAAAGTGGAGATTGTGTTAGTATAGGATTTTTAGAAGCATTACATGAAAAAATACAAGCACAAATACCAAGTAGTTTACCGCAGAAAATAAAAGCTTAATAAATGGGAACTGTTTGCATTCCTCTTATGCAATTATTATTTAAAGCCCCTGTTCTGTAATTCGATGCCTTCTGCTTCCTGTTCTCCTTCATTCAGCCTTATTTATGCAGTGCTCTGTGAGCCAATTCTCCTGACAGTTTCAGAGTCACAGTGGTCATCTTTTAAGACACATTGTCATTTCAAAGCACTGGCTAAATACAACCGAGACTGACAACTAGGAATTATACCACAAGGCTCTAGAATCCTCTGGCATTTCACTCAAACTCATATATGCCACCAAGTTGTTGCCTCTTGTTTTGCGCCTCTCTGTTCCCAGTAGATTTCATAGATAATTACTGAAAGTGAACGTCATCTTCCTCTGAAAAATAATCCAGCAGTAACCAGTGCTGAGTAATTGGGCTGCATGAGACTGTCACTGTCAAGTGCAAAAATATATGAAGAGATAATCACATTCTTTCTTTCTGTCTTACCGCTTTCAGCATGTGCATGTCCATATTCTTCCCAGAAGGGCTGGGGACTTCCGCAGGAACGACAGCATCTATGAGGAGGTGAGTCCACCTGCTGTGCTCTTCTTGTTTGATCACAGGGGCTGTCAGTGTGGTGAAATCAACCAAGTGAACCAGACAGCGCACTAGATGTGATCTTAAATGGGATTTACCCAGTATAACTTGAAAGTGGCAGTAGAGGCCAAGGAGCGAAGAGTGGCCATCACAGGAATGTGAGACAAAGAAATTGTAATAGTTTCTTTTTTCAAATGAAAGCCAGCAGCAACATCCAAGTGTCCTTGTAATTTCTGCCTTGTCATTTACCAGGACACTAAATATCTGTGTGGAGATACTGGTCCGGAATCCACATAGAGGAAAATCTACCGTGCCACCAGTGGAAAACCAGCAGACTTACATAAGATTCTTTTAGACAAATATCAAATTTAGTTTTTCACACATTTTAAACCGTAGCTTGTCTCTCCAAATAAGGTTGATTCAAAATGGAAATTGGAATTATGATGGGTAGAAACTAGCTGGTTTGAATGATATGAGTGCAACTTATATATCGTAAAGCTTTTAGAAGTTGACTGATTTGTGGGTCCTCCCAGCCAAGACAAAAATGTGAAATCAGTACATACGTGAATCAGCCAGAGTCACCTTATCTGCTCTCCCGGTCAAGTCTGCTTGACCACCTCTAGATACTCATTTGCCTTATGTGGAACACACAGCCTCTGAGGAATTAGATTGGTGTAAAATGTACGCTAATTATAGATTACCTGCTTATTCTAATCAAGTAAGGGAAAATATGTTTCCCACGTCTTATCACTGATCAAATGGTACCAGCATCTTAGAGTGCTTGGTTGAAAAGGACTTTGAGGCTGTTTCTGGATGTAAAAAAGAAAGATGCTGTATTGATTTCTACCATGGATGTCAAATGGGAAAGAGGTGCCATAGTGGCCATGTACTTATTTTTCAAGCCTTTTTTATTTTGGTTGTCTAGTGGTTGTCTATTTATGTCTCTGCTAGGTAAATCTCTATGATTCTCTTCAGCTGATTTGCAAGGGTCACACAGAGTCTGTGCTTTTCTGTGTGTGTTTATGGGGTTTCCTTGCAGTAAATGGGCAGTAAATTGGCTGTCCAGACCATGAAAACAAATAATGAGAGATCAACACTTAATAGTGTAACTCATAATTATTTTTCTGGGACTCACCGGATTGTTCAAGGTGTGTGATTATCACTTGGGGTAAAAGACTTATAGGATATGTCTTATTGTCTCATTCTTCCTGTGTTTGCCAAGAGCTGCGACAGACCTGTGTTCGATGAAAATTGTCTCCTCACTGGTACTTAAGTGCTGTTTTGTGACAATCTCGGTTCTTAGGAGGAGGCATCCCTGTGCTAGATTCTGTGCTAGGAGATTTCAAAGGCAGTGGAGCACCAGCTGTTATGTAAGATGCCCAGCTGATCCTGGCGTGTGACTGGGTGTGTGAATAGGCTCTCTGCCAGTCTGGGGTTCTAGGCTGTTCTATAGTATTATACTTTGATCTTATTTTCACTGCATGTGGAATGCTGTTTGGGGTTTGGTAAGGGCTGAGTCCACGTTGCAGGAAAGTCAGAGTTATGGAGTAATTATAAAGCAATGCATTAAAAAGGAAGTAGTGATCCTAGTAACATAAAATAAGGTTAACAAAATATTGCCATGAATATTTTAATGAATAAAGTAGCACATGATTTATGTACAAGTGAAGACTGCTAGAGTGGTATTAAGAGTACTTGAAAGCACTGTTTTCTTAGGCTGAGCAGTCACCTTGAAATCTTGTTTATGTTGCAAATATACCAGTGAAAGGAGCCCCACAGACACATTTCTGCGTGCTCCAAGACATGGTGTCCAGTGCGGTGGTCAGTGTGCAGCCCTTCTTTCCTGCCTTCCTGCACATGTGTCATGCACTGATGCCATCTCTAGCCCCTCAGATAGGACAGCATATGTTCCAGCATTCCAGCTGTTTGGAGGAGCATCTCAGGAGAAGTAATCAGCATGAGAGGTGTTTGTTTTACAAACAATGAGTAGGTCATGTGCAGTATAGAGAATATCCACTAAGGGAAGTCGTGATATAAAACTATAAAGAGATAGAACACTGAAAATGAGCAGAATCTGATGCAAATCCTAATGCTACCTACTAACTATTTGACATTGGGAAAATCACTTAACATCTGAATTGTTATTTTCTTATCTTTAAAATGGAAATAAGAGTTTATACTACTCTAAAGGATCATCATGTATATTTCATGACATATTTGACCAATAGTCTTATTTTAGCATTTGGCACATACTAATTCATTAAGAGCCTGGGGTGGAGATATAGCTCAGTGGCACAAAGCCTACCTGGCAAGCACGAGGTCCTGAGTTCAATTCCAGGTACAAAAAAGATAGAACTAGTTAGTTCTCTTATTATTATTATTTTGCTTTACAGCTGTAGCAATGGGGCTAAGTGGATAACCTGGATTAAGTCTCTGTCATTGGTAGTGTCATGCAGCACTCTTCCCAAGGGCCTTATTTCCACTTTTGTCTCTGCCTTTAACCATTCATTCAGTTTCCTCTTCCTCCTCATATAAAACTCCTAAGGTTTGGGTGCACAATGAGGTTATACCAGAAAGAACCATGGGAAGCATGAGGCATTGCTTCAGCTTTATTGGTACAAGACGTAATGTGCATTAGACTGAGTGATCTTAATCAGAAATGATAGAGTGATGAGGAACGGCATTCTTTATACTAATGAAATCGCTCCCTGTGGACTATGCGTCTCTGCAGGACATGCAGCAAACAGACTGCCTTGGAGGATGAGGGGTGGGAAACCAGGACAGCAGCAGACTGAGCTCAGTCAATACAGTGGCATTCTCTCATAGGAAAGGCTGCTAAGTGGGCCCTAAGTTCTGTCTGTTAGAAACGTTGCATTTTCTCTGGGCACCATTTTAAGAAGGACAGTGACAAACTGGAGGGCATTCACAGAGGCATCTTTGGGATGGCAGTTTCTAGAATCAAAGATCAGGAAAGGGCTGGTATCTAATCCAGAGAAGGGATGGCTTGCAGAGGAGTGACAGTGGCAGAGTTGCTGTTTCCAAATATCAGAAGCGATGGCAGTGGAACAGCATTACATATGTTCTGTGTAGCCCCAGAGAGCCCACCTGGAATTGTCAGTCTACAAGGAGGCAGATATCATCTCCAGGTAATAGCAGGTCAAACTGAGAAAAGTCTGAGCAGTGAGAATGCCTCTGAGAGAGTGAGCTTTCTCTTCCTGAGTCCATTGAGACACAGTGTGTGAGATCACAGTTCTCGGGGAAGATGTGTGCATTTGGTCACTGCCTGAACTACACGGCTCTGTAGTTCATGTCCTTCTACATCTGGCCCATTTGATCATTCCCTTCATTTTTGAGCTGTGCAAGTTGGGGCTTTTTGTTGTTGTTGTTTTATTTTATTTTGTTTTGTCTTCTTGAGACAAAGTTTCACTATGCAGTTCAGGCTGGCCTCAAACTCACAGAAATCCTCCTGCCTCAGCCTCCCGAGTACTGGGATTACAGGCGTGCGCCTGCACGTCCAGCTGGTTGTGCAAATTCTATAGCAAATACTGCCTTTTTGTTATTTTTGTTAGTAGGGTTATTGCCTAATAAAACATTCTTTTTTGCTTAGATCCTGGAGTACAAGATACAACCCTTTTTTGCTTTTTATGAGACCCCATTCTGTTGACTTCTCTCTTTCCCAGCCTACTTCCTGCTTTTCCTCCAGCTCAGATTTGAGTGTGGATGGCCCAGGGCTTTCCTTACCTCCTCATGTGGTTCTGATTATTGTCTGAAATGTATTTTTAAATTATGTATTTATTTTGTCTGCAGTGTTTTTTAATGAGCGTGATGCTATCAGGCACATCACTCATTCTATAGGTCACTGTAGTTCTCCTGAGTCTGTCTCTTACCTAAGACTTGCTTCACTCACTCAGGGTACTGGCCTGGCCCCACAGGTACTTGAGTTTGACATCCCTGACTTCTATGTGGAGAGCCCTCTCCTCTCTACTATGCAGATATTACTGCTCGCAGGTCCTTCGCCTGGTCCACTCTGAATCCCATTCATCTGTGACATCTCTTTCACCTCCCTACTTACTTATTTGAAGTGCTGAAGCCCTTGATGAGATTTTCAACCTCAGTCTCAGGTCTTGCCTACTCACCTCCCCAGTCCTGTCGATTCCGTTCTCTCTTCTTGCTTCTGTCAAACATGCTATTCCTCCTTCGAACTGAAGGTCTTTGTTGTTGTGTTTGCCTCTAACGTCTACCTTTTCCTCCCCTTCCTCCTACTTCATATGTTCATCTGGATTTCAGCTCAAAGTCACCTCCTCAAAGAATCTTTCTGCTGTCCTTCTGTTCCAACTAAAATCGCTAATCCTCTGTGCCACACATAGTAGCTCTACTGGATTACTCCGTCTACTTCCTCTTTAACACCACGCCTGAAATCATGTATTGGTGTACATTCAGTGCCTGCGTTCCCCAGAGTCATTGCAAAGCCTTGAGAGCGGGGCCCTAATCTGGCGAAGAGTTGGCTGTCAGTGGATATTTGGCCGAGAGATAAGCACGTGGAAGAACTAAAAGAACTTGGAATTTCCTGCTGGTTCTGATATAATTTAAAAGGAGGGCATATCTTGCGTTCAGAAGCTTGACTTATTGACTTATTAACTCATAGCTGCACTGGGTGAGACTCTGACATGGTGCTATCAGACATCTGCAGTTAATTCAGTGGGGCACTAGTAGATCAGAATCCTTTGGTCAGGAATCAATGCAGAAGGCTGAAAACTGTGCTGCGACAGAAAGGCCTGGACAAGCAATTATAGGCTTTGTCTGATCACGAGGCTAATATGGTGGACACAGGCCAGAGATGGTAAATCACTTGCCCCTAAAAACCTAAAACCTAGGTTTGTCTGCCCATAACAAATACGGATGCGGGATTTGCTGAAAGCAGGCTTGAGAGCCACTCTCTCTCTCTTTCCAAGTTTGACTGTGTTCTCTGAGTTTGCCTTCACTTGCTT